CTTCTTCTTCTTCTTCTTCTTCTTCTACTCATCCTCCTCCGTACTCTCTTCCACGACATCATGGCGGGTGGTGGCAGGTCTGGAACGACGAGGGGTGCAACAGCAGCAGACCGAGGAAAGGGCAAAGGTGGAAGCACCTCCGGTACACCTGCGTCGACGGTGACCTTCAAGGACCCCACACCGGCAACGGACCTGTCACTGTTCGTTCCACAGGACGAGACGAGGCAGGTCAAGCTGCAGAAGGAAAAAATGGTGTGGAAGTACGCGGAACAGGGACAGGAGGTTGGGCCGAATGCACGAGGCGAGTATTGGGTGAGGTGTCTGTTATGCTCGCAGATTTGGAGGGGCACAAGCACAAGGGCGGTCGAGCATTACCTGAAGCCGCAAAAGCCATGTCCGTCGAGAACAGGGGAGATTGTCAACGAGCTCGTCACTGGTGGGGGGAAAGTGCAGCCGGGCGACAAGAATACACGGTACCTCCTAAAAAATTACAGGCAGCTGCATGGAATTCCGGAGGGGGGGGTCGTTGCAATGGAGACAGCCGAGGTGGAGGACGATCTCCCCGGATACCTGGAGCCACAACCACCGCCCACTGCAGGCAGGGCTGCTGCAAAAACTGACGCGGGAGCATCGCAGCAGGTTAGTGCTCTGGATGGGGGGTTGGGAGAGGGTTCAGCGTCGAACACACGAGTGTCCACACTGCATCAGTCGACAATAAGGAGGTGGGTGGACAACGACGCGCAGAAGAAACTGGACGTCGCGTCGACGGAGGCCATGTTTCGTGCTGGAATTCCATTCAACTTCCTCAATTTCGAGACCACTCAAAAACTCCATGAGGTGTACTTGCAGGTGGCAAACGCTAGACCCCAGGTGAAATTGCCCTCCTACAAGCACATGAGAACCGTGATGTTGGACTTCATCTACATGCGTGTACAGAAGTCCGTGGAGCCTTTGACAACTTGCTGGGATGTGACTGGATGTACTTTCATCACAGTTGGGTCGAGTGATTGTCGCGAGCGGCCGGTGATGAACTTCTTGGCTGCTGGGGAAAGTGGTGCAGTCTTGGTGGCGACGGTGTCAATGACGGGGAGGAAGAAGACCGCACCTGCATTGGCAAAATTGTGGGAGCAAATTATGAGGGAAATTGGGGTGCATCGCATCAATGCGATCTGCACCGACAACGCGGGGGTGAACAAAAGGGCCGCTCAGATCTTGGAGCGCCGAACAGACAAGGACATCGCAAGGATCCCAAGGGTTCCTTGTGCTGCGCATTGCTGCGGCCTTCTTCTACGGGACCTCATCAAGTTCGATTTGGTTAAGAACACCGTGAAGAGGGGCCACACGATCGTGAAGTTCATCAGAAATCATCACATCGCGATAGGAGGGCGGTGTTGAAGGACATGGTTGATGGACGAAATGCAGGAAAGTGGAAGGCGATTCGGTGGTGTACAGCGAAGTTGAAGGCCAGAGCGGATTTGGTGTACTTCACTTTGCAGAATGACAATTGGTGGATGGAGTTGCACAAGGTGACTGAGGTGATGGAGCCCGTGTACAGCCTTTTGAGGCGGATGGATAAGGACGCGACTTCTCTCACAAACCTCGTAGAGTATGACGACCTCATAGAGAGGAAGTTCCCGCACATCGTTCTAACGGCGGGGGAGCGGGCGAGCATAATGGACAGAGTCAAAGATCGCATCAAGATGATGCGGCAGCCCGTCCACGCATTGGCATTTCTTCTGGACCCATACAGGAGAGAGCCGAGGTGGCTGCACGATCAAGATAGCGCGCTTGTGCAGAATGCGATGCGTTTCCTTTCGAGGCAGATCGGAGGTGCTTGGAAAGGGCCGAAGCACGTCGAGATTTGGGGTGACCTGGCCAAGTTCCACTCCAAGCCCGCAAGGAACGGCCCAAAGAGGAAGGACGCAAAGATGTGGGACCCCACAACGAAGGCAGATGTTGAGAGGAAGACACCGTCAGAGTGGTGGGCAACACATGGTGGCGATGTGCCTGAATTGCAGAAGATTGTGATCAAGGTTATGAGCATGTGGAGCACCGCATCACCGGCGGAGAGGAATTGGGCTTCCATGGACTTCGTCCACTCCAAACGAAGGAACAGCTTGGCGCCGGAGAGCTTGGAGAAGCTCGTCTACATCCACTGGAACATGCAGCTGTTGCGTCTTCCAGAGACTAAGGACGGGGGCTATGTGGATTTGTGGAGTTCATTCGTCGAGCCCATCCCGGAGCCTGCAGAGGACGACGGATCATTGTTGAAGGGGCCCGAGGACAAGGCCGAGAAGACAGAGGAGGAGCTTGTTCGGGAAAGGAGGCTCGTGAAGACTCCAAAGGGAAGGATTCCCAAGAGTCTCGAGGACGTTGAGGAAGAGCACACAGACGATAGTGATTTGGACGATGAGCTGTGGAAGGGGAAGTGTGGAGCGTCAGACGATTCAAGTGCCAGCGAAGAGGAGGCTGATGTTGATTCCGATTTTGAGCTGCAACCGGAGCCTGCAGTCCCGGGCACAAYGTATGTAGKCAGGAGGCGAACTGGAYGACAGMGTAGAGAGGAGCCACGCCCRRCAGCAACACCGGCCACAGCAGGGGGAACAGGACAGTACGATCCGCAGCTCGACGTCAACTTTGCACAGCCAGATACGGACCTCGAGATGTTGCTGCAAACCGGGGTTGAYGAAGATGAAGAGGATGCCAACCGTGCCAAGGCTATGGCTGACAGGGACAGCGACCTAGTCCGAAAACGGATGATGGAGGAGGAGGCCCGCCGTGCASCTGTCCCAACCCGCAGAGAGATTGAGAGAGGCCAGAAAAACGCCTTGGAGCATCAACAGCATATGGATCGGGCTTTGGGGGTCGTGGAAGAGGTAGAAGAGGAAGAAGAGGAGGAGCAGCAGCAACCAGAGGAGGGAGAGGAGATGGAGCGGCAAGAAGAGGGGGACGACGTGATGCAACGAGAGGAGGGAGAGGACATGGAGCAGCAAGAAGAGGGCGAAGACGTGATGCAACGAGAGGAGGGAGAGGA